CATTGAATGCTAGCAAAATCAACAGATCCACAGGAGGATTTGAAATAGCATTAGTGTATGATTCTTTGTTCCTGAAGTACATAATACTGTACAGATTTTGCAGCTTTTGATGTTAAAATCCCATTTGCAAAAAGAAAGAAATTACAAAGATGTTCAGGTATCAATATAAACTCAAAATAACACAGGTAAAATGTTTCTTGAGAGGCACTGGCTTCTTTGTTCTTTCTGCCTCCTTCCATACGAGCATGAGCTCTCTCTCATTTGAGCTTCCTCTGTTGCACCCAAGCTGGGAATCAACCTCAGAAGGGTCTTGGGTGCTTTCAGAGGGATAGGAGAGCAAAGTGCACACTTGGAGTTGCAGAGGCCTGGATCTAAGGGCTCATCCCTGTCCATCAGCCCCCAGAGTCACTGTGAGATGTGCAGGCAGGGGAGCAATGGGGAAGAACATCCCCCACCCTCTCCCAGCTGGTCTCATGGAGCAGTGCTCACCCACATTGGGATGTGGGCAGCAGGGTCGAGCAGCTGTGTGGGGGAGGCTGGAGGAGATGCCTTCAACAATCTCTTCCAGGCTGGAAGATCCAAAATCATTAGAGCGTGTCCAGTCCAGCTGTGGGAGTCACTGTTTCCTTACTGGGGAAACCAGTGTTTAGGCAGAATCCTGCTCAGACTCCACTGGAGTAGACACACTGACTTGAGAACACTTTGTTTTGTAGCTTTGATAAATACAACTAATTTGGTTAATGTGATTTAGATGCAAAAGATCTGTAAAATAACAAGAGTTTCCCTTAAAGTCTTTTACTTAAATGTCCTGTTAATGCACAAGAAGTGTCCATTCTGCTGCTGTGCTTTCCCTGCAAAGTTCTGGCCTGCCATGTCTGGGGAGATTTGGCAGTTGGTCACTGCTTGATGAAGCTGTGAAGTACTTCCAGCAGCTTTCCAGCATCCCTGCTGTGCATAGACACCAGGAGGTAGCCCACAACTTATGAAACACCTTAGGGGAAAATCAGCAACATGCTTGTCAAATATTCCTCTCTCAGCAAATGATTACTCAGAAGCCTTGCACAGCAAGATTTAACACATTCAAGTGCCACTTCTTATTAGGGTGTAGCTGACTTGTAACTTATTTTCCTTGTCACCAAGGCCTTATTTCCTCCTTTGTGAGGGGTGATCCATGTGAATAAGCTAAAGGTTACCTGGATGGAAAGGTAATTGGCACACCTAACTGCAGGGAGCAGCTTTACCCATATTTTCTGAAATAAAAAGTGGACCACATACTCAAGAGTCCCCACCTCAAAGAATTGCTAGCAGGTGGTTTTCTGGCAGCAGGGAGTAAGCCTGCATGCCTGGTTAGTTATAAAATGTGAACTTTGAATTGTGAAGACATTGAGAATGGGGGGGAAAATAGTAGCAATCATTAGGTCCATAACCGACGGGACAAATGCTTCCCTGAGGAGTCAGCAAGAGTGTTGTTGACACGCCTGGCACAGTGGAATATGCTTGTGAGCAAGTTTCAGACGGCACCAGGCCACACAGCAAAGGCAGGTAAAAGTTGAGAGTATCAGACTGTCGTAAAAGTCCTCATATAATAATTAATGGCTTGTGGGGCCAGAATGTCTCAGGGATACATGTGTGTTGTGGTGTTGTTGATCTGCCAGTGGGTGATGGCCAGTGAGCAGTGGGCTGGGGAGAGCCACCTCAAGGTCTCACCAATTCACAGTGGACAGCCAGAAACTCCTGCTCAGGGCAGATCTCCTTGAAGGAGGCTGAAGAACTCATTTGGACAAGCAGTCATAAAAGCTGGATCAATGCCAGTAACAAATGAGGGACTAAAGGTCAAGGAGGACTCTCTGTTTCCCTGAGGGATGGGAGACACTGTATCCTCAAGCCAACCTTGCCTCCTCTTGGAGCTCAGCCTTCCACTTCCTCATCTCTACACCCTTATTCTGCCATTAATAGGTTGGCAATAGGCAGTCACATGCAAAGTTTGTATTCTCTAAGGATTATGGCAGGGCAGCAAGCAGGGAAGCTTTTTTAGCCGGGGAGAGGCTGGCTCACAGCAGCTGAGCTCACATCTGTACAGGTTCACCTTGGCAAGGGGTCCAACCCCAGGCAGCAGATGCTGTGCCAGATCCCCTTTGCTGTCACCTTGGTGGTCCAGGGATTTCTGCACCCTCTCCTCACAGCTCAGACTCACATTCACAGAAGGAAACTGATGCTGAGGTACATGAGATCTGCTCTCTGAATGGAGCTAGAGTAGGGAGGAGAATCAGGTTCTCTCTCAACTCCTTAGTTTCTTTTGCAGACATCTCCACACTGAAGAGATACTGTGAAAGCGTGATCCATCCCACCTGAATATACAAGTATGAAGTTCTTCTGGATAATCCCATTTTTCCTGCTGCAAGGTAGAGTCTTGGCTTAAAGCATGGTGGTGTGGGTGAAGTAGGGCACATATGCAAAGACATTAACTTGCTGGAAATACAATTTCTTTCTTTCTATTGGGCTATTTTCCTCAGTATACTCCAGCAGCAGCCTGGCTGAGCCAAGGAAAAAGTTGCACCCAGTTCCAGAACTGGGTGTCATTCCCATCTGCATTCTGTGTGTATGTTAGGTGCTTGGGGTTGGCCACACTTACATGTTGGTTTCTTTGCAGACACTGAAGCTTTTCTGATAAAAAGTGCTAGAGTCAAGCTGTGCATACAAGCCAGCCTGATAAATAGGAATTTATTGCTGGAGGACTGCAGTCCAGAGTCAGATTTCCAGGACTGGTCTTGGCAAGGCAACTCTGGTGAATTGTGATGCACAGAGCTGTCTCTCCATGGTGGGGGATGGGGAATGTGGAAAGACCCTATCAGCATCCTGGGGTCTTTGCAGCCCTGGTGCCCCACCATAATGGGGTCTGCAGCCAAAAACACTCTCCACTTCTCAGTAAGTGAGATCAGGCTGTGCACTCAGGGCTGCATTCTACTTGGAGAGACTTGCTGGGCAACCCTGGGAATGAAGGGGAAGGTCAGTGAGTGACTGTTGCATCTTTCTCTTTCCACCACAGCTGAGGCAGAGCACAAGCACCACCCAACCACCCTGGCCAGCACACACGTGGATGAGCACACAGCAGGCAACATTACCCTTCCACTGGGCTTGGAACAGGAACAGCTGGAGGAGCTGCTCTGGTTCTTCCGCAGAGAAGACCGTAAGTGCCACTGGTGTTCCTGGGCTGGGACACAGTCCTTGGCTGTTAACTCTCCTGCCTAATACATGCCTGAGGGCACTACCTGAGGAGGTGATTTACCCCAGACATACAAACCCTCAGTGCTGCCTCTGGAATAAGCAGACCATAGATGAAAACAGGCAGGAGGCTTTGCTTAGATAGTGTCTCTGGGGTTCAGCCTCTTTACAGGCAGAGCCTGCCAAGAGAGCAAAGGTCTCTTGTGATTTTGGCAGGGTGGAGGGATTAGATTGACATAGCAGCAGGTCAGCGTCATGAGGATCAGCTTCAAAGTCACAAAAATCAAGGACAGAGCATCCTGGGTGTCCTCAGAAAACCCCTGGCCAGGCTCTGTGGGTTACACTGAGCTGTGCCTGCTAACACTGCCTCTCTGCTTTCCCTCAGCCTCAACATGGAATTACTCCGTTCTTGCGCTTTCCCTTGCAACCATGATTTTGGGTCTTGTTCTTCTGACCATTAACATTGTGCGAAACAGGTGAGGCAGGAAAATTTGAGACTCTTTTGGTGTGTGGTCGTGCCCTGAAACCTCCCAGATAGACACGAGTTTGGCAGGGCAAGTCCTGAGTGATGGGGAGAAGAGCAAAGACAAACTCCCTTTGAGACATTTTTTGTTATAAAACCTTGTCTGATGCTTGCTCGCTTTGTGTAATTTGGAACAAGCCCCTTCTCTGGGCTCTGGATCGAATAAAGGTCTGCACAGCTCTGCCCAGACCAACAGGGCTGCTGGGAGGGAGGGGAGTGACGATAACTGTGGTGTGAGGTGCTCTCCCCTAAGTACAGGGGCTCTGGAGCAGGACTCTCAGCCTTTCCCCATCCACAACCCTGCACAGTTGGGAAGTTGCAGTTGCTGCACAACCCCGCAGCTGAGGAGCAACTCCCTGCTTGCTACGGCGCGGAAACTTAGCACTGTGTGAGAGCTGTTGTCTTCAGACGAGAGCGGAGCTAACGCTACAGCCTGCCTCGCTCTCCCTCTAGTGATGGCTGGCTGCGTGCTGCTCCTGGCGTCAGCAGCTGGGTGCTCTCCAAGTGTGAATCCCTCAGCTGTGTGTGCTCAAACACTTCAGAGCACTTACCTGGCACAGCTCACCTGGCGTGTTCCAGGGACACGGTGCAAATTGATGGCTGTGACCCTCACTAGGGTAGGTGCCCTCAGATGTGGGCTGGGCTTGCTGCTTCACTCTGTATGTCCTTGTTGTGCCTTCCCTGCAGGAAAAGGAAGATTCTCATGAAGGAAGGAGCAGCACAAAGCACACAGGAGGCTGACCTGGATGCCAAGCAAGCCCTAATGCCTGTGCAAGAATACAGCCCGGCCAAGCCACTAAAGCAGGAGCCAGGGCCCCAGGACCAGAGACCAGGGGACGTGGTGGTCCAGTGGAAGGATGGGACTGTCACATCCCTGTACACAGAGATGTCTGAGGAGGCCATATAGTGGCAGCTGAAGTCAGCCCATTTAGGCCTTAAGGAAAGTATTGGAATGTCTCAGCTCATAGGGGTGCAAGTTTAAAAATGCAGTTTAGCCAGGGGAAAGAAAAGGGTGAAACAAGAAAGCAGCAGAGTACACCTGCAGGAGGGGGCTGGGCTCAGCTCCTGCCTGGCTGATGTTTCCCCACTGCTCTCGGCTGCTTCCAGCCTTCCCTTCCAGTTTCATCTTCTCCTTCAGGTACTGCAAACAAGCAGGAGCTGAGCAAGGGAAGCAAGTGGGAAGCTTGGCCTGCAGTCAGCCAGAGAAAGCACCCTCACTTCCCATCAGGAAAACAGCAACACTGAAGCTGAGGCATTTTTATTGTTTTCAGAATCCTCTTTATTAAAATAATTTCCAAAGTGGTTGATCAAAATGCCATATTGAATCTCTCTACCAGTAAGGTCATATACATATATTTATATGGCTATATGTACAAATATACATATGGATATTTTACTCTGCAAAGTAACTGCAACTCCAAGGAGAAGCAGAATATTTAACCTGATAGAGCACCTGAAACCAAACACCCAGCCCTTGGCCCTGGCTTGGGCACAGGTAGAGCCTGGCCTGCTCCAGGATTCCCTTTTTGTCGTTCACTGGGTATGCGTAAAAGCCATGAAATAATTTAGGACATTGTTGGAAATTGCTCAGTCTTTTAAACAAAGGCTTTTCAGACCATGTCCTTGTCAGCAAAGCGTCTCCTTGCAAAGCATTTGGAAAGGGATGCTATAGTGTAAAAAGTTGATTAAAAAAGCAGCAATTTTGGTGTGACTTAGCTTGATGTGTGAGTATCAGTTTCAGACCACCTGAGGCCTTTAAGCAGCTGAAGCAGTATCTGCACCTTTTTTATCTGGATTTAAAAAATTAAAATAAAAATAAAAATTCCTCCTACTTATTGCTTAGTTGGGGACCTGTGGGATGAACGAGATGGGTGCCTCCGTGCTGGATTAATGAGCTCCCTTCCTGGGTTCCTGTAGCTGTGTGCCACGTGCCCAAGATGGCTGGTGGCCTTGGGGCTGGCCCTTGCCCTCCCAGTTGTATCCACAACTCTGGCTCCTCTGGGAACTGCTGCATCCTCACAGAAAACTGAGCTGGCCCCAGTGCCAGTGGCAGGACAGGGTGCAAACACCACAGCAGCAGTGGGCAGGGGCAGGCAGAGTGATGCCACAGCCCATGTCAGACCCTTGGCACTCTCCCTGCTCACCAAGTTGCCACTGCTGGCTTTGCCCTGGCATGGAGACCAGGGCCACTGTCTGCCAGTGGCTGCTGGAATGCCTGTGAGTCCATCATGGAAGGTCTCAGCCGCTGTGGAGCTGGGGGATGGATGAGGGTCTCTCTCCTCCCTCTCTGCAGCCCACAGGGATGTGTCCTAAAATATCTTGAAGCCTTTCAGCAAGGTTAGCGTGGGAGCCTTCCTTTTGCTCTGAGCCCGCGACGACTTGACGGTGACCAGCTTGGCCTGGGCCACCGAGGGGATCTCCTTGTAGTTGACGGTGGAGAGGGTGTTGAAGGTGCAGGTGGCCAAGCTGTGGTGGGTGGGCAGGGCGACCGGCGTGGCCACGGGAGGGCAGGGCCGCTCCTCGGAGATGAAGAGTGGCCGCAGGGGCAGGTTCCACTCGGCCTGGCGCCGCACCTCCCGCACGGCCTCGTGGAAGACGTGCTGCACCCGAGAGAAGTCCTGGCAAGCCGACACCTCATGGAAGAGGCACCCGAACCTGCTGGCGAGGGACATCCCTTCTGCTGAGAGCACCTGCCTGGCGAGAGGGGAGGGGATGGCTGCGGGGTCCCTTGGGGCATAGCAGCCATCCAAAAAGGGTGCAGGTAATAGATCCTCTATCCCACGCCTCCTTCCCAAAGAGCACCAAGGTAGCACCTGCCCATCCCTGACCTGGGACAAGCAGGTACATGAATCCAAAAGAGTTCTCCCTTTCCCAAAAGCCCAGAGTAGTGATCTCTTTGAGTCCCTGGGGAATCACGCAGCTTCTCCTGTTAGGGATGTTCCAGGGACCCAGGGGTGGGTGTGATGACAGTGCACTGGGAAGCAGGGAGGAGGAGATGGGGCAGGTCCTTGCTGTGGGGAGGGGGATACCTCCATTCTGGGAGCGTGGGCGTTCCAGCAATGCACGTGACGCAGGGACCCGTGGGACCACAGAGCAGCACAAAAGGCCAGAAAAACATATTGGGCACATCCAGTCCTGGCAGTGGGGCTGGAACTAGAGGGTTCCAGGGAAAGGAAGGGCATGTCCAGAGGGGCTCCTTTGGCTCAAGCCCTGCCAGGGATGGTGACGCTGCCTCACCACTCAGCCAAAAAACGTCCTACTGAAAATACCAACAGGCTCAAAATAAACACATCAGCCCTCGGGCAGGAGAACAGAAACTTCGGAGATGTGGGAGGACGTTGCAAATACTAACGGGGGTGGAAATACCCGTAAAGAAATCGGATTTGGGTTTTGCATCCCAGCTGGAGGGATGGGGATGTGTGAGCTGTCTCCCACGGGGAACAGGCAGCCTTACCGCATGCCCGATACCTGTACTGCTCCATGTCCAGCTTGTTCCCCAGCAGGAGCACGGGGCAGCGGCGCTGGCAGCCCTGTGCGTGCAGGGCGAGCACCTCGAGGTAGCGCTGGCAGCCCTCGAAGCTCTTCCTGTTGTCGATGCTGTAGACAACAAGGAAGGCGCTGGCCCAGCACAGGTAGCGCTCGCAGTTCCCGGGGCCATCCTGGGGGTGAGAGGAGTGGCTGAGCTGCAGTCCAGTCGTGGTCCAGCCATGGCCCAGCTGGTCATCACCCCCTCGATGCCTTACCTGGTCAGCAGTGTCCATCACCTTCAAGAGCACAGGCTGCTGGTCCACCAGCTCCTCTGAGGAATAGGTGTCCTCTGCAAGAAGAAGGGTGGTTGTGAGGATGGTTTGGCACATCCCGTCTTCTTCAAAGCCAAGCAAAGCCCAGGATGCTTGGGATACCATGGAAAAATGTCAGCCCTGATGAGGAGCATCCTCCACTAATGCCTCCCACCTTATTCCTTCCTGAGACAACATTATTTTGGGGGACTGGTGGTGATGTTGCTGAGCAAGCTTGGCTAGGAGTGCTTATTTCTCCCCACGTGCTGCAAGTGTGGGCTCCCACAGGAGTAGGACGGAGGGGAAGGAGCTTGGCACAACAATCACTGCACCCAGGGCTTGGCCCTTATCTAAAAGCCATGGCCTGATGAGATAAAGCGAGCTGGGGGCTTGACATGAGACTGTTTCTCAATAAATCAAGCAAGAGGAGCAGTCTTTGCTTTTGGAAGGAGGGCAGGCAGGGAGAGCTGTTGAGCCATTCCCCAAGGAGAAAGATGCTTTCTTTGGGCCAGCTTTTAACTGATGTGTTTCGGAAAGGTTTTGACGTGGGAAGATGAAACCACATTCCCAAAAATATCCGAGGAAGAAAGGATTTATCCTTCTTTCTAAGAGTCACTGAATTATTAGGGGCTGGAGTTGGTTCCTGGACAAGGTCCATATCTCTCTAATGTCCCCAGTAAATCATTTATGGTTCTTCCCCACAGCCTGGAGTCAGGCCTAGGAAAATAGTTATTAATTACTCAAATGAGTGGAAAAAAAAAAAAAAAGCCCAGAACTGCTCACTGCAAAATTCAGTCCCAGGGTCGCTTGCTGTGCACCCATCCTCATTCCCTCAGCCTCTTCCCTGCCCAACAGACATGAGATGCTCCTCAAAGAGCCCCAAGAATTCAAGTTTTGTTTTTTGGGGGCAATGTAAGGAGCCAACGTTCCCTGTGGGAAGTGCCCCCGGAGAAGGCACTGCTTTCACCTCTGTTTTCACAGATGGTTTTGGGTCAAATCCAGCCCTCTTGTTTTTTATATAATTTTGGGTGAGTTGTTTTTTCTTTCCCCTTACATGCCACATTCATGGGAAACGTGGGAGATGGGAAGGATGCTCCATGGGATAAGAACACGCCTTACCCAGGTTGGGATCATATTCACTGATGAACCTCTTGGTTAGAAACTTCACGGTCAGAGCTGCAGGAGGTGAAAGAGGCAGGTGAGGCAGGTGTCCCCTCACAGCACCCTGGCAGCTCCCCGATGCCCTGCCCTGCCCGTGGCTGCAGGTGCCTGTCTCACCTGATTTGCCGGCCCCTCTGCACCCCAGGATGGCCACGTTGCACTCGGGGAGGGGACTCTGGGGCGGCCGCTCGCTGCTGGCTCGGGGTTTTCCGAACATCGAGGACATCCTCGGTCCTGCGGGAGAGAGCAGAGGACATGGAGCACCCGCTGCCGTGTCGGATGGGGACTTCTCTCTGCCTGGCTCGTGGGTGCCCCAGCCTGGGGCAGAGAAGGGCTCAGCAGCACCAGGGTGGGAGATCCCCTCTCTTCCATTTTCATCCTGGAGCCAGGCTGGCTGACATCCTCATCCCACAGTGATGGCCAGCATCCCACTCAAAGAGAAGGACCCCTCAGCCCTCTGCCCACCCATCACACCTCAGAAAGAGAAGAGAAACGCAGCCTCCCACCTTAAAACCCCGGGCGGAAGGGGACGCGGGGCTCTCGGTGAGCGCGGGGCCGGGGCAGCAGCGGTCCCTGCACGGCCGGGACTGCGATGAATGAGGCAGGCGGAGGCGAGCGCGGCTCCCGCTGCTCGGGCTCCAGCCAAACTCCTTGTAAGGAAAGCTGCCACGCCGCGGGGCTGGACACGCTGCCCCGGCCACCCCGGGGACGGTCCCCCCGGCAGAGCACACGCCGGCACCCCGAGCTCCCCCGGCTTCGGGCAGGGACCCCCGGTCCCGACACCTGCCGTGCCTCGGCTTGGTGGCCACCTCGCCATGTCTCAGCACCTTCTTGAGCCCTCAGCTGCTCGCCGTGTCCCCAGCAAGCCCAAGCCTGGTCCCTCTGTGCTGGCTGAGGCCGACGCACTCATCACACCTCGGGCAGGCAGGAGCAGCACCCGGAGCTGCCCGTCCGGCCACCCTGCGCATCACCTGCCCGGCTCCTTCGGATACAATCAAGCACGGACACCTTCTGCTGCCGGTAGAGGCTTTCGAGGGAGAAAAATACCCTTTTCCCACTCAAAAGACTCGGTCCCAAGAGGAAAAGGGAGCCCAGGGAGTACTCACCAGTGCCCGTACCAATCCATCAGCCGGCACCCAGTGGCTCTGAGCCTGAGTAGGTGGCGGAGGCTGAAGTCAGCGTTGTCATGGTGATCACAGCCATTTGGGATAGGGCTCAGTGCCCAGGACCACAGGACACGGCCCCTGGGCCGGCCCCGAGGGACTGCGGGAGGGGCCATAGCCGAGGCTGGGGGCCGAAGGCTGCTCCGTGGCCATGCGGGGCTGCTGCGCCCTTGGGAATATTGCCCGTTAATTCAGGCAGGATATTTTTAAACCCTCCCAAAATAGTCTGGAAATGTGGAAGTCCCTGCAAGCCTCAGGGATGAGGAGGATGAGGATCACAGGGACAACTCCCCTGTGGGAAGCAGAGCCCCTCTGGGGACCCTTTACCCCAGACCCCTTTCAGTCACAGGTCTAGGGTGCTTAAAAGCAATTGGAGCTAAACATGGTATTTTAAGCTGGGTATCCATGAAGATCAATGACGGTGCAAGTGTAAAACTCTCCCATTCTCCCCTAAACTCAGATTTTTGGGGGAACCTGCTGTGGCCATGACCCTGAGGCAACATCTTTGCCATCATGCACTGTCTGGAAAGTTCCCAGCTGCTGGGACGAGGGGGTTAAGGAGGAAGCAAAAAATAGACCTTCAACAGGAAGAGCTGCTCAGGTTAAATTATTCATCAAAACAAAACACCAGTTGCAAACTAATCACGGGTAGTGATGGGGAGATCCAGGAAGGAGCCCCCAAGTGAGCCCTGTTGTCAGCCTTCCTTGGCACCCCATGGCAGAGCTGAAATGAGATTTCTAGCCTGAAAAAGCTGTGATTAGCACACAAACAAGTCATGTGCCACAAGGAACACTTTTCCTCAATGTCAACCTCTGTGTCAGTAAACAGGGGTTTATCTCTTCCCACAGCCAGGTATTATGGGCAGCTAGGCAAGCCCTGAGGCCAGAGGGGAGTTTTTTTGGTGAGAAGAGGTTGCTGCACTTCCTTTTTCTCACATGAGATCCCCAGGTGAAGCAGAGGCTGGCTTATGACTCCTTGCAGCTGGGATGGATGTTGCAGATGCCACTGCCATGGGGAGGGTCACAAAGGAAGGTCTCTCCCTGCCCGTGGCAATACTTGAAGAACAGCCAAGCCTCTTTCCCATAGCTGAGCTGGGGGGCAATGAGATTTGCTGATGTTGTTTATGTCCCTGGGTTGTAAACTCCATGTTTTAAAGGGAAAAAAAATAGTGTGGCCATAGTCTCTTCCCAGCCATGCAAGTGTGTTGCCCTCCCCAGGTTGGGGACTGTTCCTTTGGGCATCACAAGGAGGATCCTGAGAGTGGAGAGAGCAAAACCCAGTTTCTCCTGAGTGGCTGGGCACACTCCATGGGGTGATCCAGGCACCTCTGCTGTGCCCAGTGCTGGCTGGTGACACTGGAACCCTGCCTGAGGTTGGGGGGGCAGCTGAGCCTGGCGGATGCCTTTGAAGGGCCCCGGTCACGAGCTCAGCTATCTTTAGCCCAAGGTATTTATATTACAAGGCTGCTGGGCAGTGCAGCAAAGGCATCAAAGGGTGGAAAAGGCCGGAGGGGGCTGTGCAGGGGCACGGCACAGAGGGGCATTGAGTGCTCCCCCACCCCTGAGAGCTGCTGAGGTCCTGGGTGAAGATGACCCCAGAGGAGGAAGGTTCCCAGGCAGGGCCCCCAGAGCGGGTGCGTATCCGGGTGGAGGAGCAGTCATTCTCGGTGGAGAAGACCCTGCTGGTGGAGAGCAGTGAGTACTTCCGTGCCCTCTTCCGCTCGGGCATGAGGGAGAGCACACAGGAGGAGATCGGGCTGGGGGAGCTGAGTGCAGCCGGGTTCCTTGCCATGCTGCGGGTGCTGGCAGGCGAGAGGCCCATCCTTGGCTGTGAGGAGACCTTCCAGGCCGTGGAATGTGCTGCCTTCCTGCAGGTGAAGCCCTTGGCCAAGTACTTGATCCACTCCATCAACTCTGACAACTGCATCCTGCTGTACCAAGCTGCTGCCATATTCGGCCTCCTGGATCTCTTCCACTGTGCCGCTCTCTACATCAGGGACAGCTACGCTGAGCTGGAGGAGTACCTGGACTGTCTCTCCGATGACCTGCTGGCCTATGTGGAGGCCCTCCTACCCAGCACCTTTGTGGCAGTGGGAGCCCATACACCCACCTTCGAGTTCTTGGAGGATCTCTCCAGGACCATCTGCTACCTGGATGAGGAGACCAACACATGGAGGACCCTCTCCTGCCTTCCGCTGACTGCCAGCACATTCCTAGCCGGCATGGCAACCATGGATAATAAGATCTACATTGTGGGTGGCGTCTACGGGGCCAACAAGCAGGTGGTGGAGAGCAGCTTCTGCTACGATGCTGATGACAACACCTGGAGCGAGTTCCCCAGCCCTCACCAGCTGCGCTACGATGTCAGGCTGGTGGGCCATGAGGGCTACCTCTATGCTATTGGTGGCGAGTACGAGAAGATCTCGCTCAAGTCCGTGGAGAGGTATGACCTGGCCTCCAGCACATGGACGTTTGTCTCTGACCTGCCACAGCCGAGCACGGCAGCGCCCTGTGCCCAAGCCTTGGGACAGATCTTCGTTTGCTTGTGGCAGCCACTGGACACCACTGTCATCTACGAGTATGAGACCCAGCAAGACGCGTGGCTTCCTGTCACCGAGCTCAAGCGGCACCAGAGCTACGGGCACTGCATGGTGGCCCATCGTGACAACCTCTACGTCATGCGCAACGGCCCCTACGACGACTTCTTGCGTTGTGTCATTGACTGCTTCAACCTGACGTCCCGGCAGTGGAGCGCCCTGCCCGGGCAGTTCATGAACAGCAAGGGAGCTCTCTTCACCGCCGTCGTCAGGGGTGACACCATCTACACTGTCAACAAGATGCTGACGCTCCTCTACTCCGTGGAAGAGGAGACGTGGAAGCAGAAGAAGGAGCGGGCAGGTTTCCCCCGCAGTGGCTCCCTGCAGACCTTCCTCCTGCGGCTGCCAAGACGCGACCATGACATTGCAACGTAGCTGGTCCCCCATCCCATGTCACGATGCTCTCCTTGCACATGGCCTCAACTCTGCACTCACTGCTCCCCTGGGCTCCTCTCCTCCTCCATGGAGCTGTGCTCAGGTCCAGGGATGCATCATGTTGGACCTTGGAGGTGACATTAGACCCTGCTAGAGGGATAGGGCAGGTGCTGTCTGCCTCTTCCTGCCCTGCACGGGCACAAAGTCCTGTCAGCCATGAGCTCACAAGCCAGCCGTGTGCAGGACATTGTGGCTTGTGCAGAGGACAGATACCACAGAGATACAGCATGGAATTTATTTATTCTGACTGCACTCTGAGGGTGTGCAGCATTCCACCTCCTCTCTGCCTTGATGGGAAATAATTCATTACATGCCGGAATTAAAAGGAAAGCTATAGAAAAGCTTCTCATTACTGTGTTTTTCATTACTCTTGGGTTTGGGGTTTTTTCTCCTGTACTTCTGAAGGAAAATACCTCCTCATGGGGATCTGTGTCAGGACTTGCTTCTGCCCCTTAATGCTTTTTCAGCTGCAGCTCAGTTTCAGAGCCTTACGTGGGAATGTGGTTCTCACACAGCCTCACACTCCCCTGGGAATTTTCTGTGGCTGAAGCGGGGTCCTGGGAGGAGAAGGAGAGATGGGGACGGAAAGAAAACAGCTCCTGGGCATCAGGTGCTTAATGTGCCAAGGGTTTTCTGGGACCTGAGAACCACCAGCCAGCCCCCTCACGCCCCAGCACAGACCCAACGGGATGGCAAGTGCTGGCTCTCACCAGAGACTTGCTTGAGCCAAATCAGGGTCTTTTGAGGACATGGCAAAGCACGGAAGCCCAGAGAATGCCAAAAGGCAATGAGGGGGAGGGAGCCATTACATGGTGATACCAGGTTTGCAGAGCCAGAGGAGCTGTTCCCATCAGATCCCACCACCCGGTGTTGAGGGTTCACAGCTCTGGGGATGGCTGGGGAGCACAGAGCTCCCCTTGGTGACCACAGGGACCGGGGCAGCAGCAAACCCAGAGCCTGGCTCAGCTGGTTTCCCATCCATGGGGCAGGCTTTGGGCTGCCTGTGCTGTCCAAGCTGGGAGGGAGAGGAAGGGATACCAGCTGGGATGCCTCAAATACCTCCACGGCTGATCCTCGCCAAGTTCTCAGCATTTTCAAAACAGTTCCCGCATTTGAGAATAAACCCACTCAACGCAACTGCAAACCAAAACAAACCAGAAAACCCCAGCTGGCACCCACAGCCAGATGGAAAACCACTGGATGTACCTTGTCCCCATTTGCTCTCTGCCACTGGGCCAGGCCACCACCTCGATGTCACCCGTGAGGGGACTGCTGCTGGTGGAGCTGCAGGTCTGGTGGTGGCACGGGGGAGGCAGGGGACAGTGACAGACCTGTTCCAGCTCTGCACTGAGGCCATTGTGAGCTGAGCAGCACTGCAGTCCCCAGGTGGAATATTACAGCAACCCATCAAATCAAATCATTGTCCCCTTCCCAGACAAAGCCAATTAACATTTCATGTTGTCTTCTCCTGAGAGCAGTACATGGAAACATGTTGCTTTAAAACAATTTTAAGCTGAACAAACAGCTTAAACATCCATTAAAATGAAGTTAAAATAATTCTGTTACTAAAATATTTATGTTGGGCTCCTGTGGCCAACCCTGGACTACAGAACTTGGCAGGCTCACCCCTTCCCTCCAGCTCCAACACCAAGTGATACAACCTCCTCCCCACCTCCACATGCTGCTTCTTGATACTTCAGGGGTTTACAAAGATATTTGTCAGCAAAATGAAAAAGGTTTTAAGATTTTAAGTGTAGCACTTGAGGGAAAGTGTGAGTCTTGGCAGGCAGCTGAGTACGGCACGGATGCTCCCAAGAGCCATTTGTTGCATCCATCAATCCAGACTATGACCCAGAAAGTAACACAAGATGATTTTAGGTGCAAATGGAGGGAATAAAGATATACATTTCTTACCTCTGCAAGAAGTGATCAAAGATCCAGGACCAAGCAAACCACTAAGGAAGGTGAGAAGCTGCTCAGCCTTTGCACAGTGAGTTGGCACAATGCTGCCAGTGTGCTTTGCTCCACCAGAATTCAGCACCACTGGCACCAGCACAGCACCTTTATCTTCCCCTTTCCATCCTCATGGTGTTCACTCCGCCAAAGATCACAGTTTGAGGCGATGAGATCTGCCTAATCACAGTTTAACCTTTTGCAAGTCTCGTTTTTAAGGTGACATCATCTTGGCAAGGGGGAATGTAAGGAAAAGCTGTCTGTAGATGGACTTGCCTTATAAGGGCCGTATCAAAAATAAAAGCTTGTATAACCAAGGGAAAGCAGGAGGAAAAACAAGGCTGGGAGTTCCAAGAGGAGCCTGTGAGCTCCCCAGGAATATCTCCCTAGGACATACAGGGTGCCACATTTTCCCTTTCAATGCCATTAAAGAAGAGCAGGAATAAAGCATCCTTGGGGATAGATGGGTCAACTCCCCCAAAACCTGGATGCCAAGTTTCCTTGTTGCATCCAGGCAAGAATAAAGGCAGCCATGGAGAGCTGTACCTTCCTGTTGCTGTCTGGCACCCACCTGGCGACCCAGGGAGAAGGGACATAATGTTTTACCTCGATGGCAGCAGATTGCACAAGGAGATTGTTTGGAAAGGTACGATGGAAAATGCTACTAATACAACTAAGGATTTTCTCTGCTGGGTTGTGCCAGTTGGCATCCTGACAGAAAAAGACAAACACTGCAGAAGAAACCCCCAAGCATCTTTACTCAAAGAAATTACATCTGTATCTAATTCACAGGAAAATAACACACATTATGTGAGAACACTGTCCACTGTTTCACTGCCAAGCCAGGACACACATCCTGTACAGTGATCTGAATCTCCCATTCTCTGTCCTTCAGTTACATACAGAAATTCCCTTGGGCATCCAGATGTTCCTGATGCTGACATTCCTGTTTCACTTCATTTGGAGCCACTGTCTTCACAGTTTAGGGAAGCATACCCTGAATTTTCCCGATTTGGGCAGAGCATGAGGGCAGTGAGCAGTTTCCCATCTCTCTGTTCTGATTTCATGGAATTGCCTGAGGACAAACTTTTGCCTCCACCATTTTTCATAGCACTGGATAAACCTCATGTATTTCAGAGCAAGGGCAGCTTGTTTTCTTTCTTTACCCACATAGAACTGTGCATTTTCCACACATTTCTGGTTTAAAAGGAGAAGCTAATGCGATCAAAGTGGATTTCAATTATAATATTCAACTGTGACTAAGTCAGCTGAGACTCTTCCCAAGCGAGGAGCAACACATGTTCCTGCAGGAGCCTTCAGATTTTAGGAAAACAATTTCTTCTGTTGATTTATATAATCTTTTAAGAATTCCCATTTGATTGTAGCTGAAAACATGATATCCATCACCCCAGGTGGAGGGAGAACACTGGTTTGGTTTGGGTTTTGCAAAAATCTAAGCCGAAGGCAGTTTGGATCTTCTTTAATTTAATCTGAACAGCTGAGATGATCAAGGGTGGGGATGTGTGGGCGAGGAGATAAACATTCCTGCTAGGCAGTCAGTGCCTGAATGACAAATATTCTTATGATGGATGCCCATAAAATGAGACACCAAGGCAGAGCTGTGACGTTGTGTGTCTGGTACTTCCAGGGGTGGGGATGGAGCAGCAGAATCACCTGAGTCCTTCTGGTCTGGTGTGGAGAGGAGAAACTGTGACTGCTCCAGGATGCTGCTCAGTGGGTTTTCATTACAAGCTCTTCCAGCGCCCTCTCCCTCTGATTCCCACAAAGCAAAAGCACTTCTTTGACTTCATTTTGCTGGAAGCCCATATCATTAAACTGAGCCAACAGATGCAAGAATTCAGCTGCCTGGAGGAAGAAGGAGGAGAGAAGTATGATGTGATCATGGATGGATACATCGTGTGATTGCAGCAAAAGCAGTACTGTGGGACAAGGCTGCAGCCAGAAGATCTGGCTGGGTGGTATCACAGTGGCAGCAGATTGAGGGCACACATATCCCTGGTAGCATTGCAACTTCTTAAAAAAGAAATAATTAATAAAGTCAGCCTCTAGCTTCACTATTCCTTATAACATTTATATCAATTCCATGCAGTGTTTGCCCGCATAATGAAGAGAGGAGGGAATGGCAGTGAGCACAGGCTGGAATTCATTTGTCCTGCTCCCCCTCTTGGCTCAGGCTGGGCCCCAGCACCACAACATCACCCAGAGCTGTGTCCTTAATAAATAAACCCTTCCCTGACACTGAGACCCAGGCATTCTCCCACTGCCACTGCCCTAAGGAGCAGTGACACAGCAATCCTGTGCAGGCATCTGCATCCTGGAAAACACTGCCACGCCAGATTTCATGCAGTTCTACCTCCCCAGGCTCTTCATCACCCCCAGGAGGAGACTGATGATGGAGACAAATGCCCAGTTCTCCATGGTTCTCCTCCTAGAAGGGAGAGCTGTCAGGGCTGGAGAGAGCAGAGTGCTGGTGGGCTCGGGATGGGATTCCCTGTGCAGGGGCTGAGTGAGCATCATGCCACACAACACACACAGGGTGAGAAGAAGAGCAGAGAAAAGTGAAGGAGCACGTGTCCTCCCTGAGGGATCTTTATGGTGACGCTGCCCTAGAGGTCTGGCCCTCCATGAGGCTGCAGGAGGACCTGTGGAGGTAGAGGGAAGGGTGCAACCCACTGAAAAAGAGAGCCTGGAGAACACAACACAAAGGGCTGGGCTGTGCTATCCCATTCTGACCTTTTTCTCTGAGTACTGGAACATTTCCATGGCTTCCTCCACCTGCCCTTCCTCATAGCCCTGCTTCAGCAGCCGATCACAGGCACCCAGGTAGCTCAGGAACTGCAGAGGAAGACAGACAGGTTAATCCAGCTTTGCAGGCATGGGGAACAAGGCCAGTCAGGAGCCCCCCTGCCACCTCCCAGGGACACATGGGGAATACATGAGCCACCACCATCTTGCCAGTTCCCATCTAATGCTCAGCCAGGGTGGTCTGTCTGTCTGCAGGATTCCCAGTGGGAAACAATATCTTGATCCCCCTTCACCCTCCCAGGGTGGGAATGGGAACAAGGTGGAGGAAGGACAAGGAGGAAACCAAACATGTGAACATGGGAGATACAGTGATGGCCTCCAGGCTGCAGGGTGAGGCAGAGCCTGTCCTGGTGGGATGACTCCACTCAGCTGACCCCGCATCCCTTTGATGTGCTGGGGTTCAGGCACCCGTGGATTTGCTCCAGGGTCCAAGTGCAAAACCTGCCCCAGAGGAGACCTGTGTGCTGTCATTACTGAAAGTAAACAGTTTTTTTTGGCTTTCCTCGTTGTTCTTGGAGTGCTGACAGCACAATTCCCAGCAGCATCTTTTAAGTACCGCGAGAATCACTCACTGTCCAAAAACATATGGGACAGGCAATAATAATGAGCTATACAATAGTAGGGGGGAAAAAACATCCCACAGGTCTCTCCAAAGCTTCTACATCCAAGGAGAGGCTGATTCACTTCTCCCTAGATTCACCAGCACGCAGACCTCCACCCTCCCCAGCACTGCCATTGATACTCTAGTAAAGGCAAGGCCTTCTGTAGCCTTCCTTAGAAACAATGCTTTCCTAATTTTGGTGGAAGAACTTCTCTACTAGAGTGGTCTCTGCCAGTTTCACTTGACACTGCAAGGAAATTGAGCAATTTTTGGCTACTCTCTGGTACTTCCATCAATCCTCACAGTTGAAGTAGTCATTGTCACACATGGAAACATCAAGTATAACCAGCAAGCAATAAAAGCACAGGTCTTCTTTTCAACTTCAGCTGGAACATATTTTCCAGGAAGATTTAGAAAAATTTGGTGGTTTGGTATTTGTAAAAGATGCATGAAGGATCAGACATTATCTTGGCGGTATTGGGCATAAATGGGAAAAATGGGAACTACTAGTGAGGAAGCCATGGGCTAGAAGGCAGATATTTTCTTTTGGTGCAGTAATCTCTTCTCCAAAGGAGTGGGAGTCCTGGTGTTTATACAGAAGGGAGCAGGCTGTACCCATTTCCCCCCTTAATAAGATGCACTGTTTCTTCATTTTGAAGCCAGCAATTGCTAAAGACACCCTCGCATGGCTCTATGAAACAACACGGGCTGCTCTGCCCATCTCTCTGTGCCTAGATGAAACCTCTATGGATTGAAGACATAAAGCCTCCCTTCCCACCTCAGCTCGCCTGAAACTCCAGAGAGCCCTGGGGAGCTGGTCCAGCTGGGATGAGTAGGGAGGGAGCCGGAAGCTGCAGGATGACTCAGCCACAGAGCAGCTCCTGCGCCGACCGGGCGGGTGAGAGCCGGCCCACGCAGCAGAAGCAGCTCCCAGGGGAATGGCAAGGACACTGGCAGCCAGCAGTGGCTGCTTGGTGCTCTGCCTGCTCGTGCCCTGCCAGGGTCTGCTCCTGCTCCCTGGCTTGACAGCCCTATGGATATCTCTCTTGCTCAGCTGTGATTAAGACCCTTCTCTCTCTGCAAGAACTACTTGGACAATTTAGCCCTAAAATCCTGTGCTGGTCCAGCCCCAGGTTTGCCAAGGGAGTCAGAGCCAGCAGCTTCCCTCATGTCACGGATGCTCTGAGCCCACCTGGACCTTTCTGACATTCATCTGGACAAACAGAGACATTGGGAATGAGGATGCAGCACAGCAGGCAGGGATGTCCTCATATACCAGGGGTAGGAAGAGGCTGCATGTTAAGTATTTTCAATAAATTCCAGGTCATTATAGACGGTTCCTCAGGAAAAGAGCTCTGGGACTCCACTGCAATGATTGCATGGATTCCCTGGTTGCTCCAACACTGGGAAGTTGTGTTTTGGAGAGAGCCCAACCAAATCTCCGAGGTATTCCTACAGTCCTGCTCTGACAGGATGAACCATGGCAATAATCACACAAATCCAACAGCTGGGAAAAATGATGTGCAAAAATTTTCCATATATGGGGGCAAAATTTGTACCTCAAAAGGACATGATGCTTCACACAACAGATTGAAGAGATAACGAAGCCAGCCGTGATTATGCGCTGAAAAGCTGAGGGCAACTCATTGCTATTTTATTACAGCAAAAGTGTAATCTCATGGAAAATCCTGTCAGCTATGGTCTGACACCAAAGTGGAAAGGCAAGGCCATGAAAAACCTACCCCAAAGAAGACAGCCATTCCCTTCTCCATGAGGGGAATTTTACCAGAAATTTCTCAGTGCTGTGTCAGCTCCACCAACCTGACTTAAACTTTGCCTTCCAGTCTTCTGGAGGGTGAGGATGGCTTTCTGGGTGGGGTAGCCCAGGGCTATGACGGGCTCGATGAGGTCTCGCTCCTCTTGGCTCAGCGCAGAGAGCAGATCAGCCGAGGAATCCGGCTGGGATCTGTGGCAGCTGAGAGGTCGTCCAGGCGTGGAGGTAGGGGGGAGGCAAGTGTAGGGGCTGAGGGACTGAAAGGAAAAAAACAGATGGTCTTATTGCTCCAGGTCATGGAATGAAGTGAAACAACCTAGGCTGAGGCAATGCCTCTGAATGCTGGTGGTTACCTTGCTCTCCAGAAGAGGAAATATCAAATAGGCATCAAATGAGACTGGGCTTAATTAAATCCAGGCTCAGCTATAGATACAGGTCAGAGAAGAGTGCTCAGGGTGGGTGTTGTACAAATACACACGGGCATTTAATCTTATCTTAATTACTCCATGTCAAATGCAACTGCATATAAATAACGTGGTCATTCATGTATCTGACAGTTTTATTGCAGGTTTTCAGTAATTCATCTCCTAAATCTCTCAAGCAGCTGGATTAGATGCAATTTCTTAAAAGCAGGGTGCAATTCAGATTTAAGGTGACAGAGTATTATTTACTCCATCCTTTAATATCACTGTCTCTGTCACTAAATTATCTGTTTTTCTATGAAGTCCAAAGTTTCCTAGAAAAGGCATAATGACTGTAAGGGGACATTTCCCTATAAACCCCACTTATATGTGTTCGAATGAGATAATGCAGCAAAAAGGACAAACCTTCATATTTCACCGTTTTTAGTGTTTCAATTAAAAATCAGATTAGACCCTGCTTGGGGAAAACACAGATCTTTTGGACAGAGCAAGTAAATGTGCACCCAGAAAGCTTCTTTCAACCTCAGTGAAAAAATCAAACCCTTTCTTCACTTCTTGTGAAAACTTCAGCAATTCCTCATAGGCCCAGTGTTTCCAAAGCCCCATTTCGGTTCCTTTTTGCTGGCCAGCCCCCACCAAATGAGACCAATTCGATGCCCTCCACCTCCCTCCTCTCTCAGCTAT